GACGAGCCATGCCACTCGATCAACTCCAGTCCATTCAATTCATTCTCCGCGCCTTCTCCATTGTTAGGTATTTCCCCGAGTTAAATATTGAATATCTATTTTCTGAGTAGTCTCGTGTTCACAGCTTTGTGGATTGTGTGGCTATTGTCCAATGCCATTACAGATGAAGCCGCACAAAAACGAATGATCGTCGCTCGTTAAAACCAGAGACTCAGAATTTGAATGTGATTTGTTTAGTAGCTGGGTTCATTGTCGCCGTGATACTGCAGTACCCAGGCAGTATCACGGTTTTATATTAAGCCACACCACTTCATGGTTCTGGTACATTCGCTCATAGTCTAGAGGAAGTTCACCAACGGAATCAACAAAAGAGAAAATTGGTCTGTGGTGCCAGCTGAATTACAAGGATAAAGAACAGTGAAATATGAAGATATTCCAACAAGCCTCAGTTCAGTCAACAGGGTCGATCGGCGATGAATGTATTCGAATTAACTTATGTAGAATTATGGTCTAGTTCGTTATTAGTTCTGCATTGATAATAGAACTGATCCCTAAATTCTTTGTGGTGGTTTTTGTTGAGGCCCAGCACCTGCTGACACGTTGATGCTAGTGCTTCTTTGATACTTTTTCAGTTGTCCTCCATGGTAGTTTCTTCTTTCAGTAGACCCTATAAGGCTTTGAACCTGTTGTTGAGAGTTATCTTGAAGCCGTTGAGCCTGTCAGTATCTCAAAGAAGGGTTGCATTAAACTTTTGTAGTGCTGTTACTCCAGGTTTCTTCGGCTTTAGTTCTGTAGAATAATGGTCTACCTCGTTATTGGCACTGCTCTAAGAATAGACCTAATCCTAAAATTGTAGATTTGTCATGATGTAACTCCCTAATCTATAAGATCTTACGTGGAAGTCGCATCATTGTCTACACTGGCTCATCGTATCGTACGATCACCAATACATGATGGAGAACACAGTTAGGCTGAAGATAAAACAATAGATTTAATATGAATAAAAAAGATAAGCCAACACACAAGAATGACCACGCCTGCAAGGCTAAGCCATACCATCCGATAAACTAAGTTTCGAATTCATTCTTCCTGCCTTCTCCATCGTTGGGTTTTCCTCCGTGTTAAAAACTGAATGTCTAGTTTCCCAGTTGTCTCGTGTTCAGCTTTGAGGATCGTGGTTACGATCCAATGCCACTACACTTCTTTTCCACTGGAATCAACGTGACGTTAACTCGATACTAACTTGAGTGGGACTGTCACGCACCGGTGGTTTCCAAGAACCTTCTGGAAGATAAATTAGAAAGAAAGCGGTAGCAATTGTTTGAGTAATACACGTATTAATCTCAAAATGTTTGGTTTTATCTTTAATATGCGAAAAATATAAACCTATGTGAAGATTATATAGGTAGGCTAACTGAAAGAACATAAGTATAACCGTGAAAAAGAAGAATTCTAACTAGCGTTTACAGGCATGATCTACAAATTACAACATTTACTGTTTCACAGTATGCATGTTAAATAAATATAATCTATAAAAGTGAATATCAGTCCATTCCTACATATATAGTTATTAAGCAAAGCAACTTTTTGAGTTTGTAGTTGTTATAATAAAGACTTGTAAAGCGCTTGGTGTGAACTATGACACGTACGTCCTGTTTGTTCCAGATGTCAGAAGTTCCATAGCTGTGCACTCAGAGCGAGATTTTGAAAAAAAGGAAATCGAGGAGCAGCATGGCACTTGGATATGGACCATGAACAATACTTAACATTTTATGGTGGAACAGACAGACGTATGATAAATTATTAGACTAAATTCGTACTAGCTCGTGTAGACAAAGTGAAATGTGATGAGAAGCCCAGATGAGAGAATGCAGCAACAAAGAACAATGAGTTGTGATATTTGCTAAGGTGGAGTAAGTTCAAATGAAAGAAGGCAAGTCAGTGTTGGAATAAGGAAGGCTGTTTATTAGAACGTAAAGTGCATATAGAGAGTAAATTGTTAAGAAAACAAGTAACTATGTCTTCTGTTGTCCGATTTCTTTTCATCCGATGGCTGCCAGACAGTCTTAATGTAAAAGTCCGAGTCAGCATGCTAACGATTGTCTTAGTAGTATAGCTAATCCAGCACAAAATTGGAAACATGAGTCTGAATGGCGATCGAGGGAAAACAACCTCAATATCGCAGATTGATTGACTCGTTCTCATACATAACGAGTCTGATACAGACAAAATGTTCTGCCCACAAACATAGGTGGGTTGTAGTCATCGCCCTCACCATCATTGTTTGCTTGTCAGTAACTCCACCTTCCCTCCTTTTGTGATGTTGAGCTCAGTTGAGCTTATTTTTGGATATATATTATACCTCACGCAATGCTCTTTGTTTCACATCCTAATAGAAAACACTATTTCTATAAGTACCGTTTTACAAACTTATCAAGCAGTTACAAATTATGGATTGTAGGTAAGGCTTCGATGCAATGCTTTGATTAGCTATAGTATGAAATGTAGGTTGCAAATCATAGACATTAAGAAGGGTATAATGCAGGATAGTCGTTTACTAATGTAGGCGGAAAAGTATAGAAATATATGAATTATAGATAGAATAACGATTGGTGAAATAATATTAATAGCAAGTCAATATAATGTACTGGAAGTTAAAAAGCTGATCAATGAGAAGAGTTGACATGAAGAGAAATTAGTGACAAGATAATAAAATTTGAGCATGCCCATGTGTTGCTGAACAAGTTTATCTGAGTGTGTTGGATTAGAGGTTGAGCTGGCTTTGCTGAGTTTGTTCGTCGAAAGTATGGAGTACAGAAGTTTCTCCGACGACGTTGTTTGCTGCATTAGGTTTGTTGTCAGCAGGCTAACCAATTCAGTGGGACCCTAAATTTTGATACCAACTAGATCAGACGATGTTGCCGATGGGTTCAAAAATTTTGTAGCCCCGTATCTGACTACAGTTAGATCATATCGTCTAAAACTGCATTGTTTATAGATATCTGTCAAAATATACATCCTGGCTAACCTCGTACACGATTAACGACTCATTCCACGTTACTGAATGACTGAATTAAGTCAAATACGAGAATAGATTTTCAACGTGTATATTTCATGCACTCATTGATTTGAAAATGCAATCAGGGAGACGAAACAAAGAAGAAAGATCGAAGCAGATTGAAGAAGCAAGAAAAAGAGAGTGAAGCAATGTGACGGACAGTGCATATGGAGTGTGAGCCAACTCCCTTTAATCAAGAGTGATTCGATATTTATAGTCACACAAAATAAGCTTCAGATATGTGTGAGTAGGATAAGATGTACACACATACGCCTATTTAAAAAAGTCAGGGTTGATAAGTGAATAAGTAACAAAAGCAAAATGTAACTCAAAAAGAATGAATAAGTTGATCTGCTCAAAAGCTAGAAAAAGTTATGCGGCTTAGCATAGTAACCAACATTACAGCAGAGTACCTGAGCAAGTATGTAGCAGTTGGGATGAAGCTCACGAACATGATATACAACAGTGGCGTTGGCTTCCGCGCAGCATAGGCCTTCAACTAGATTGCTTACCGACAAATGATCAGTTTCCCATTGTGAATGTCCATGTTCATGCACCAATGAGAAGTAGTGACCGTGGTACATCCATGTTTGACGTGGTCACAAATCGGATACTTCAGAAGCACGAAAACGCATACTATCTCAGTTGTATTAAGGTAGACTACATGACCACGAGAATGGACCTTTAATACGCGCCAGGGTCACGAGGAAAGGGGAAGCAAACAGTGGATGACCACGGAGAGGTAGTAAAATATATCATTTTAAATGCGATCTAACACGATGTACCTCAAAGTAAGCTCACACTACGAAAGCAAACGTCCTGGGTTAAGCAAGGCACAGGACGCTTACTACAGGCCAAACGGTGAGACTGTCTCAGGTCGAAAGTCTGCTTGCTCAGAAGCCATCAGCACACTTGTGTATGGCCTGCTCAGACACTCATTTGATTCACACCAGCTCTCAAGGGAATAGGATCAGGCCACACTCTGATCTTCAAAGCAGGTGACAGAAAAATTCAGTCTATAAAAAATTAGTCACATTGCTCTCAATACTCCAGAAGGCAATGAAGGAATCAGTCTGTGAACAAATTAGGGAAAAAAATAAGTAAAATTATCATCCATGAAGCTCAAAATGGGTTCATGAGAGGCAGGTTGTGTGCTTTAATTATCCTCATTCAATAAGAAAGGTGGACGACTTAGTGGGACTGTAAGATACCGATTCATGCTAAATTCATTGGTTTCGCAAAGGCCTTTGATACATTACCTCACGTACTTCTCAAAGCGAAGACGGCAAAAATGTGTTTCATCGGTCCACTTTTATCTTGACTGAAAAATTATCTCGAAAACAGGATGTTTCGTACCGAGGCAAATAGAGTGTATGGGAGTTTGGAGGTCTCAACATCAGAAGTTTAAAGAGGGACGGTGTTTGGAAGTCTTCTTTTTTGGTCTTTAATAACTACCCGCTGGAAAAAATGAGCACGGCGACATAAATCTATGCAGATGACTCAAAGATATAGAGATCCATAACAATGCTAAGATAATTCAGCTGAGCCTCAGAAAAATCTAACAACAATAAGGGAAGGGGCAGTAGTCAAGAGTTTAGAACTTGACTTGTTGAAACGTCATGTCATGAACACTGACTCATTTGACAAAAAAACACTTATAACTTCTACGGAAATCCGTTACCGACTGTCTCCACTCACAACTGACTGGAGTTGATGCAAATGAGTGTCTAGACTACCATCCATTAGACACAACTAAGTACCTGTAACTTTACCATAACAATGGGATGCGAGCACAATGAAATCAATTGACAAAGATACTGGATCTTCAAAAATTACGCAGATCATCTAGCCGCCCGTCTTTCTCAAAAGTGAAATTGAAACGACTTTTTTTGTAACTAAGACCCATATTCCAAGGAATGTAGGGTTCGTAACTTCTGTCCAATATAAATTGAAAATGGTTTTGGAGGTTGAGTTGAAAAGTGAGCTATGTTAGCCACCAAGTCTGTTAGAACTTTATTGCACAGAGTGTGCCGGGTCGCTGTAAACCAACGATGTCTATCCAGCATATCAGGAAGTTTGCAAGTGGGTGATCCTATCCAACAGTCATTTGTTGCCAGACTACGGGAGTATCGTCAGAAGAGCGAGTAGAGTTCCTTTTTCTAATGAATCTCATGTTCCAATTTCAGGAAATCTGAGTTCGGATTAACAGATGCTTCATCTAAAGAAATAAAAGAGCTTAGTGAAATGCTGGCTAAGGTTGATAGAATATACGAAGCGGAAGGAGAAGATATGACTCAGTTTCCTATGTTCAAATTCGAAGAACCCAAGGTTGTTATACCGGCATCTTCTCTACATGTTGAGTATCCTAAAGAACCGGAGAATAATGTTGAAGTTTAAAATACTTTGTAGTGCTCTACTAATTACTATCGCTACATCTAGTTGATAATCTTCACAAAACTACTTAAGTTTTTGTTAGTTACTGTTTAAATACTGGTACATTTGTAAAGAGGTCAGATGTCTTCATATACGTTCTTTTGAAGCTGAAGATTCCGCAGATATGTTCTGGTTATTACAAGGTCTCAATTGGTGTGCAGCACTAGGCAAAATAACTTAAGGTCTTATTAAACCGCAAGCTAGTTAACACTACCACTAGCTCTTACTAAGTCAATGTAACTCTGTTTTAATGCCGAAACACACGTCTTTGTTCTTAAATAAGCCTTACTCGCTACCACATGAGTGAGACGACTTGTAGTACTTCGTAAATATACGGTTTAGTTAACTTAGCCACACGAAACGTCCGTATGGCAATCCTTTGTTTAGAAAAGAGAAAAGTATTAAAACCCTTCTGTCATAAGGGTAGTACAATCGTGTCCGGATTAGTAGTGAAACTCCGTGGTTGATCAATACTTCATAAGTAAAATGCTACCGGAACTTCTGAAGAGATAGGACATTTCTCGCAACAAATGGTCTCAGTCAAATACACGGGACATAGTACGTTGAGTTTATGAGCTGTCAGCAATCGTATTAGCGCTGTCATAAATACCTTGAAAACCTAACAACTGTTGTGTGTATCTTCTAACTTGGGTTGTATCTTTACAGATGGCTATCCACTAAATTTGGATCCAGGTTCCAGTAATTAAACAGGTACGAGGTTGCGCTATACTCATGGTTCTACTGGGCTGCAAATTGTTTGTTTAAGATAGACAATAAAGATTGGACTGTGTCTCGATGTTGTCTTTCTATAGTGATATATCGCATAGTTTTACAACCAAATGTTCCCTGTTAACGGTTGTGGTCCGCAACCACCTGTCTTGTCTTTCTCAAGTGAGGTTTTTAATTCCAGGATTTGAGGTCATCTGTTGTCAGTCACTGTCAGATCTTGTGTAAGGCTTTAGTCCTCACAATCCACATAACAGCAACTAAGAAAATGTACAAGTTGAAGCAAAGAGAATGTATGGTATGACCGGGCAAAGGTTGTATAGTAGTCAGAATCAAATTTCACTAGGTGATACAAAGATCGACATCAGATATGATTTCGGCCTCCTGAACCTAGTATATCACCAGACCACAAAGTGTCAGAATCCGAAGCCTGGTCTGTAACTACAAAAAAAACATATCGTATGGGGAGATGCCATTTTACAGAAATTGCCAATAAGGTCCGGAGGATTGTGATTTTTTAGGGAGCAAGAAAAATAGTTTTGGCAGAACCATACAAATTTTTTCCGTTTTGGTTCGTTCTCATCCGCTGCATACCACCCATAATATTTCTGAAGCTATAATTATCATGAGTCTGACATACTACTGACCGTGGATTTCGCCAGGTGTGGATACTTGTCATTATGGTGGGTTGGGGACCCGAATACTTACGATTTTGGAATGTGAAAAGCTCTCTGAATGAATACAATGTGCGAGAGATTCAGGGTCATCGATTTAAGTGACAAACGGTCATGTATCTTGTAATTTAAATGATTATGTTGTAAAGTGGCTAAACATAAGCTGTTAGTGTAAAAATGTCACGAACATTCAGGCCTTAGCAACTCCGTTGTGCGTAATCTTTGTAATCGAACCACACCAAAGTCAGTGATGTAGTAGTTCGAAGGCATATTTGGCAGACAATCGGTGTTTGTGTGACTTAAACTGGTTTATTTGCCACCACCAGCAAGCGATGACAAATTAAGGTCAATCAGTCGAAGTTATGGGGAAAGTTGTGTGTGGCGTCACCATGGCGGGCGAATACTTACCACATATGAAACCAGTTGAGACACTAGTAACTCACAAAATTGGGCGGAGTGTGACCTGTCTGTTTGTTAATCTTGATAGGTCTCAGTTTACGTCAACACACAAACTAGTGATAGTGAGTAAAGTAACTGTACGTGTAGATAATGGCAGTCCTATCTCGTAGCTGTGAAGCATAACTTCTAAAATATAGAGTATTCGTGAAATACTCGTGTATTCTAGGATCACGGCATACGGTCCCGAGATTATACCCGAAGTTAGGATAGGAAGACAGTTGTGTCCCCGTCGATCGTGCTGGTTGAAGTCTGCCACGTATGCCCAACCATCGCCTATTAAGACGAGAAGTACTTATACTTGTGTAGTAGTAGGTTAGAAGAAAGCCAGATTGAAACGAAGTTCGAGTCAATGAGGCCATTGCATGTCCGTAGGCTGGGGCTATCTGGTTGGGGTCTAGATGGTTATTATGATCAGGGGTTAGAGATTTCGCGTGACAATCCAGGGTTGGTCGCAATAGCGCAAGTGCACTCATACTGTCCTGCATTAGATCCCGGGTACCGAGATGTCATAGTGCTCCTTTGTTTCTTGTTCTGTACCCAGTCTTCTCTACTACTATGACATTAGTCTTCCCAGTTTCATCTCGCTGTGCTAATAATATGTGAAAATCCATTGCTTCGTTTGGATTACATAGTCCTGATAGACTGAAATCAGTTAAGACATCTGATTTGGGAAATAAGTTTATTGATAACCAGGCCGGTGTTGTATTTCTGCTTATTTCTCAGTGTACAGAGAATTTACTAGGTTGTTGTGTATGAGTGCCGAAGAAGCACTCCTACGGTTTCTAGACAGTAAATTCCAAGTGTTGTCAACCTTTATACCATCTAGTTAAAGGGCTGAGATCCTTCCGCTTTATTTCAGCAGATCTATGTCATGTAGATCACCAGTTTAAAAACATACAGTGTAGTCCATTCACTTGATTAGCCGTAATATGGACGTTAGGACTGCACAAGTACATGTTTGGTGTAACGTTCCGTATTGCAACTGATCACGAGGTGTTAACATTTACTTGCTAACCAATTGAATCATTTCATCGGTTTCTGCTGCCCTGATCTAGAAATGAGATTATGATTTCTCCATTGAGTACTGCGTGGCCTAAAAGCACACCATATGCGTATTTTCTATCACGTTAGCCATATTTTGAGGGACCATCTAACGAGTGATCATACGTTGGTTCAATCACAGCCTGTTGATATATCAGAACTTGTGAGTTACTTGTAAAGTTTTGGAAGTTCGGTGAACAGAGGTTGAGATATTGTATACAAGCGTATGTTCCTTGTGTTCTACAAACGCAGAGATATATTACTACATCGTAAAGGCATTTTGCGCTTTACCTATAGAATAATCATCCCGCTGCAGTATTAGATGACTCCCACTACGGAGCAGAGAAAATTAAATCACTTGCTCGTCAGACCTGTAGGTGGTCTGCGACTGATGCTTGTATATGTCGAAAAACTCCTGCCAGTCCATATAAGCCATTGTATGATAAACGTACATGGAGTCGTGGGTCTCTAGATTATGAATCATGGCGATGTGGATTAATGTGGCCTACTTTTAAACTCATGTAATGCTTTGTGTATTATTGATTTGTATTCAAAATGTCTAGAGGTGGTACTTACAAACAATCCTTTTTTTATTTATTTATTTATTTGAACACATAAATATTGGTACAAGAGAGCGCCAATATATATGCGCCACACAAAACAACGGGAATTCGAAGAGAAGTAGAAAGAAAAAAAAAAAAAAAAAAAAAACTAAGGAACGCAAAAGAAAAGGAGAGTAATGACGAAGAGGTACAATCAGAAGAAATCTTTCAGTTAAGGAAGACAACCACTTTTTATGAAGAAAGTAAAAGGTTACAGCAGGATCGCCACTGGCTTCTATTCTGAGCCATATCTGATAACGTCTCTAGCCACTGTGTAGCACCATCTCTCGGACCCCAACCAGGGAGTCGTGAAGGACCGACACAAGCCAGTCCTTTGCAGCTTTCTTTCATGCCACGACACCATGTCATGCACTGACCACCTCTCCGCTTCTTCCAACCAGTCCCAGAGTCGGCAAATAATGCACGACGTGGAATTCTCTGGGACGACATTCGGAGAACATGTCCAAGCCACCGAAGTCGGTGTTTCAAGATGGTGACACCAATTGAGTTATCATCTCTGTGCCCGAACACACGATGCCGAACCTCTGCATTACTGACATGGTGTTGCCACTGAATGTCAGCAATCCTTCGGAGACAGCGATGATCGAACACAGAGAGTCGTCTAACGTCCTCAACTCGGAGAGGCCAGGTTTCACAAGCATAGAGCAAAACTGCTCTCACCGACGCGTTGTAGATCCGGCCTTTTACAGCCAGACTAACATCACGAAGGCGCCAAAGGTGGCCCAGATTGGCATAAGCCGCTCTGGCTTTCACTATTCGTGCATTGATCTCATCACTCACACCCCCACCAGCACTTATGCAGCTACCCAGATACACGAACTTCTCAACTACGTCTATCTGCTCACCGTCCAGGGTGAGTACAGGATTAGAATCCTGCCAGTCTTGTAGAAGTACTTTGCACTTCGAAGGTGCAAAGCACATACCATACCTACGGACACTGATTGCCAACTGATTAAGTGCGGATTGCATGCCTTGGGCATTATCGCACAGTAAGACAATATCGTCCGCATACTCAAGGTCGAGAAGTCTTTCTCCAGGCAACAGATCCACAAACAATCCTAGCGGATACCGAAGAAATAACTACCGACCATCTACGGGGATTATAATTCAGAGAGCAGGTGGTCGAATCGTAATAATTCTGTAATTAGATGACCATTCAGTTCATAGGCCAAGTGAAGCAGGTGATTACGACTGTCATTCTAACCATCCTCTAACCCGAATTCTGTAGGTAATTATGAACTTCAGATAGTTCCAATTTTAACTCAATTGATTCTACGTAGGAGTCTACGCGACTAATGTCCCTATTTTTGAGAAAATGACGCAGAACTTCCACAGGTCCTAAGATACCCAGAATTATATATTCAGTTACAAAATACCTAGACATTTTAGTATTTTGGGTTTTCATCAAAATTTTGGAGAAACCCACCTACGTTCCGTGATTAAACCCCAATACATTTTCGCATTTAGAGGACACTATCCACGAATTCCAGTTTTCCACAATAATTTGTTCTGAAAGAGCCAAAGACTAGCAATTGTACAGAAAATCCTACCGACTTAATAACAGGTAACCACATTTCACTACATGTCCATCCAATTCCCTTCGGGAAATTAACGCAGCTCCAA